AGAGACGGGGTTTCACCATGTTGACCAGGATGGTCTCGATCTCTTGACCTCGTGATCCACCCGCCTCAGCCTCCCAAAGTGCTGGGATTACAGGCTTGAGCCACCGCGCCCGGCCTTCTTTCCTTCTTCTTAAACCCAAATGATTAATCACCACATGGCTGCCTGGGATAAAGACATTTCCCAGCCATCCACTTCGCCACATTCTTGCCAGTATGTTTCAAGCAGCAATGTCCTTATAGGGAAGCAGCACTTCATGTTTTGAGTATTTTTGGCAGCTTCCATTTGAACAGTGAGCCGATTTGAAATGAAAATTAAGCACGGACTGGTAAAATAGAAGAAATCTGAAGTCCTGACACCATGGAGTTATACCTACCTAATCTAAACTATTTATAACCCTGGACTTCTATGTGAAGAAAAATAAAATTCTTGTTTACTTCTTTTTCAGGTTTTTCTCTGATAGCAAAACTGAATTCTAATTGATATTTCTGGAGTGGTATGGAGGTCACTTTGTCTTCAGGATTCTCCAACACTGAAAGCTCAAAAACAGTAGAATGGCATCCACACTTACTGGAAAAGGTCAGGGAAAGGGATATCTCCCAATATTCCATACCCATTCAAGAGCTCATTCATCTTTGTGTGAAATAAAAATATTCAGTGATATGCAAACATTCACTAATCTCAGGATTCAAACTAACAAAAATACTTGAAACAGTACTCTAACTCCCAAGAAATGAATTGTATCTGAGGTCTGGGATTTTGAGAAGATGTAGAAAAGCACGTTGTGGTGAGGAGTTAATAGATATGCGTTTAATGAATAAGGAGGATTTCCTTGGGTTAACATAACTCAAGGTTAAATTAACTCCTTAGTACTTAATTTAAGTACTAAGTAAAGTTTCTTTAAACCAAAGGACATAGAATAAGATGTGTAATAACCTAGCAAAACCTAGAAGTTTGGAATAGGAATGTAACGCAAAGCAAAGGTAACACTGTAGGGATGGAAGGAAAGGAGAGGAGAGAAAAAGTTACTCTGGAATCTTAAACTTTGGGACAGCTGAAAGGGGAAAACGTGTTGCTGTGGGAGAAACAGGTGTCTTGTTTATACTTTTAAAAAGCATAAATATCAATTAAAGCAACAAAAAAATCACAGTTTTATTAATGGAAGGAAAAATGAGATAAAGGAGAGAGAGTGAAAAAACTAGAAACTTGATAAAATGAGAGCAATAGGGCAGAGGTAAAAGAAAAATGTATTATGTGAAATATATAATTTTAATTTTATTTTTAATTGGCAAATATATATATATATGCGCATATATTTGAGCAACAGATGGGCCTTAAATAAGACAAAGTAGGTTTTCTGATCCTTCTTTGTTTTAGTCTTTTCTTTGAAGTTAACCTTTGGGGAATTTATTCACCTCCTGTGTGAATAAATAATGAGGAAAAACAGATAAACTTAGTGCTTCTCTTAAACAGCATCAGACTTCTTACATGCATATGGAGCACTATGACAGGACCTGCTGGCATTATTTCACACCAGAAATGACACAGGAGGGTACATCTTGGTGCAAATGCGTATAAATACAAAATGCTGGAGATTAATGCAATCATCATAGAGAAGATTGATTTCACAGCACTGCCATGACATTACTCCTGGGCCCCAAACCACCACTATCAGAATTCGATTTCTTTAAAAGTTAACAAAACGCTATTGTTCCATCATCTGATTTTAATACCACGACAAGATGAGAAGGCAAGAAAACTTTTCTGCCCATTTTACAGTTCCAGTTCTTCCATGACCATGAGAGTATGTGCTATTATATACTGGGATCCTTTCTGACTTGAAAGTTCTCCCTTTTTCCTTCATTTAGTATCTACTTAATACCCTCTGGTCCCCCAGATATTATTTTACTAGAAAGCCTTCCCTCTATCATAAAGCTCTATTATGTCCTGCCCGCTTTGTTGCCATGGCATTCTGAAATTCCCTCTGTGAGAGTGCTTATCACATGCTTTTGAAATCAGCTGTTCACATATTGTAGAAGATAATTGGTATTCTGTCTGATTCCCTTAGAGCCCTTTACCCTTCCTATATTACCTCACTGGGTCTCTTTGTTTCTCATGAAATAAGGTACTAGGAACGCAGATTTAATTTGCAGTCAGAGTTAAGCCTGAGAAATCTTGGGAGTTTATTCCCTATCCCTGTGACTCTCAGTCGATGAATGATTATTGTGGGATAAGAAAGCCCTTCTTCCATGACTCCGGATGGGACAGATTCTTCAGCACAACTTACATCCCAGTTTCTTTGCAGCATCAGGCTGATGCTAACCTTGTGAAACCACATCCTGGTCCAGCTTCCTCCCTTTCCTCTCTTTCTTTCTTGCTCCATTATCAGTTTCTCCGAAAGGCATT